CTGACACAGCCATGTCTGTCTGACACAGGTATGTCTGTCTGACACAGGTATGTCTGTCTGACACAGCCATGTCTGTCTGACACAGGTATGTCTGTCTGACACAGCCATGTCTGTCTGACACAGCCATGTCTGTCTGACACAGCCATGTCTGTCCTTCCCCATGACCTGGGGCACAACAAAACCATTGAAGTCCTGTGTGTTGGTCATTCCTGATGTCCTGCTACCAGAACAAAACAATTGAGGTCACTGTCCTCTCTGAACTCTGTATTTTACCTTTTGAAGGTTTCTCTTCTCCACCAAAAAAACCCCCGAAAAAGTCTTGAGCCATCTCTAACAGCAAAATTTTTTTTCACTAGGAAAGAGAAACTAGAAAAGTTTCTTTTCTGAAACTGTGTTGTTTCAGGAAAACTTCCTGATTTTTGAAGTGAGTGTACTCTGAGGCTGTAGCCACACGAGCTTCTGGGGTCAGAAACAAAGCCAGGTTGTGAAGTTCTGCAGCTCTTTTCTGTGGGTTTCTGAGGTTGCTGAGTTTCAGCTGTGCTGCTGCATTGTTTGTGCCTCTGCTGTAAATGGGGTCATTCAGCCCTTTGCAAGATAAAGGCTAAAATCTCTTTTCAAGTTGGTTTTGTTGGTGAAACCAGAATTTTTTGAAACTAAGTCACTTAAAATTGTCAGCAAATTCTTTGAAACACATTGGTTGAGGATTTTGTGTGATATAAAGCATTAATCTCCATTCTTTTTTACCTGCACAAAAACATTATTAAAATAATGCAAAGAAGTAAATAATAACCTGACATGTTGGCCTTGAAAACAGCAAAAAATGGTTTTTATTTTGCCTGAGCTATTGCTATATTTCCCTTATCATGCATAAAGAATGTAAATATTACATAATGACAAAACAATGCAAAGACAGTAGAACCTAAACAATCTGGAGCTTTAGATTATATAATTTCAGAACTTCTATTTGTTTGATTTATATATTATACAATATTTTCGTGGTTGTTTTTTTCTTTCATTAAATGTATCATCAACCAAAGCAGTAGCTGCTGCTGACAGCACTTGCTTATAGTTGTACTAGCTGGGTTTTTGTACAGTTTCCACAAAATCAGCTTTATGTGGGCTCTAATCCCTTTCAAAATCAGCTACTTTCACTTGGCTAGAGTTAGAAATCTGCCTGTTCTGATCTCTTTGCAGGATGAGAGCTATTATTCAAGTGGGCACTTGCTAAACCTGACAATCTTTATGCAAAAGTGTAGTTATGTGTAAATGAATAATGAGAACAACACATTTTTATTTTCGTGCCAAGTTGTGTGGCTTTAAGAAATAAGTTCAGCTTGAGTTTTGGAAATGGAAAGCTGTGTGAGGTCGATATATATTTTTATTGCCCACATATTTTCAGTTTCCACAGTCCCAGCCCCAGGCTCCCAGGCCTGCAGGTCCCCTGGTCCCGGCCCCTCCTGTCTTGCTGCACAACCAGTATGAGCCAGTTCAGCCACACTGGTTCTACTGTAAGGAGGTGGAGGACAAGCAGATATGGATGCCATTCAGCCTTCTGGATTCTGCAAAACTGGAGGAGGTTTATAATTCTGGTAAGTTCTGTCTTGTCCAGAGGGGAACAGAAGGACTGAAAGGAAAATACTGGAGTAATGGCACTGCTGGGTGAGAGGGTGGTATGGCAGTAATAAGGAAGGTTAATACATACCTTGAAGATGGATTTTGTGCCACTTAATTTATTTCACTTCCATTATCTCTTGCTTGATGCCATCAGTGTTGAGATGTACCATCCCTGGTGGATACCAGAATTCCTCACAGAACTCCTGATTGTCTTTGTTTGCCTTTTTGTTAAGCTGTCAGTTCTGGAATGAGTATCATATCTGGGATTTCTCAAAGCTTTCTTGTTGTGTACAGAGCATCAGAAGTGTTTTAGAGGCAACACAGCGGTTGCCTGATATTCTGTAGTTTGTCTTCACGGGATCAGTGTTGGGCCCAGTTCTATTTAATGTCTTTATTGATGATCTGGATGAGGGCATTGAGTCCACCATCAGCAAATTTGCAGATGACACCAAGCTGGGGGGGAGTGTGGATCAGCTGGAAGGCAGGAGGGCTCTGCAGAGGGACCTGGACAGTTTGGAGAGTTGGGCTCATTCCAAGGGGATGAGGTTCAACCAGGCCAAGGGCCGGGTCCTGCACTTTGGCCACAACAACCCCCGGCAGTTCTACAAGCTGGGCCAGAGGGGCTGGAGAGCAGCCAGGCAGGAAGGGAGCTGGGAGTGGGGATGGACAGGAAGCTGAACAGGAGCCAGAGTGTGCCCAGGTGGCCAGGAGGGCCAATGGATCCTGGCCTGGCTCAGGAACAGTGTGGCCAGCAGGATCAAGGAAGTGATTCTTCCCCTGGACTCAGCGCTGGTGAGGCCACGCCTGGAGTGCTGTGTCTGGTTCTGGGCCCTCAGTTCAGGAAGGACATTGAGGGGCTGGAGCAGGTCCAGAGGAGAGCAACAAGGCTGGGGAAGGGACTGGAGCACAAGTGCTGTGAGGAGAGGCTGAGGGAGCTGGGGCTGTTCAGCCTGGAGAAGAGGAGGCTCAGGGGAGACCTCCTCACTCTCTGCAACTCCCTGACAGGAGGGGGGAGCCGGGGGGGGTTGGTCTCTGTTCCCAGGAACCATCAGCAAGACAAGAGGACATGGTCTTCAGCTGTGCCAGGGGAGGTTTGGGTTGGATATTAGAAAGAATTTCTTTGCAGAGAGGGTGCTCAGCCATTGGAATGGGCTGCCCAGGGAAGTGGTGGATTCTCCATCCCTGGAGGTTTTAAGAAGAGACTGGATGTGGCATCAGTGCCACGGGCTGGGAACCACAGCGGGGTTGGATCAAGGGTTGATGATCTCAGAGGTCCCTTCCAACCCAGCTGATTCTATGATTCTATGATTCTGTAACTGTTCTAATGGTCTAATATTGATCACAGACGTGAGTGGGGTGAGAGAGAAGGAAGCCTGTGTGTGTGTTGGTGTGGTAACTGGTGTGCCTTGTGTGTCACAGTCCAGCCTGACCCCGAGAGCGTGGTGCTGAGCACGGACGGGGGCCGCTACGACGTGTTCCTGTACGACAGGGTGAGGAAAGCCGTGTACTGGGACGAGGAGCCCTCGGAAGTGAGACGCTGTCTGTGGTTCTACAAAGGAGAAAAGGACAGCCGGTTCATTCCTTACACTGAGGATTTTAGTGACAAGCTAGAGGTTTGTGTTGCCTTTACATAAACTGCACCAAGACCTTAGTTCATTGAATTAACGACCTTAGAAACACTTCTCTCTGTTTCATTAAAATGGTTGCCAGAATGCAGTTTCTGGAACATAAAGGAAGCAAATCCTGGGAAGGCCACGTTGCTCGTGAATCAGTCCTGCACTGCTGTGACCTAAAATCAACTTGGGCACTCTTCATGTGACACTTATTATATAAACAAAGTTATGTAAATTATAAGTGTAACATTACAGATGATGCACAAGGCTAGAAAATTGCTGAGGAGAAGACATCCTGATTTTGTGTAACTTATTTACTGTTTCAGGCAGAATATAAAAGGGCTGTGACTACAAATCAATGGCACCGGCGACTTGAGTTCCCAAATGGGGAGACCATTGTTATGCACAATCCCAAGGTAATAGATTTTGGCAGTTTTATCTCCCAGGATTCATTAGGGATGAATGAGCAAGTGGGTGGAAGCATAAATTGAATGCAGCCTTAATCTTGGTTGGTAGCTGTTGGTTGTTTTGGATATGTGTGCATTGAAGATATAAAGTTTATGGATCACTCAGCTTCTGTTTGCTTCAGTGTGCTGCCACCTGGTTAACAGACAATGCTTTCTGAGACACAAGGAGAGTAAGGGTTTGCATGGTAAATATTTGGACTAGCAGCAAATGGTTGGCCATTTGAATTAGTTTAACCTCAGACAGTCTGTACCTAATGAAAGATAATTTAAGCTGAGAGCTTTCATGTGGAGAAGAGCATTAATCTAAGTATAAGGTAAATAGTTTGTTTATTTAAACTGTGAGAAGTTTTCTACTGTGACTATTTTTAGGCTGCAAGAAAGTATAGCAAAACAAGCTTTAAAAGTTATTCTAAATATTCTGCAAACAGTTTCATGTTATTAAAACATGGACTTCAACCTTGTTGACTGGTGCTGTTACCTGTTCACTTATCACAGATGTAGTAACTGATAAATAGAAAAAGCCAAGGGCCAGAAAGGATCATGCTTGCTCCTACTTGAAGCATTTAATAATGCTGGTTAAGGAATTGTGTCCAGTAAAAACCTAGAGAAGGAGCACTTAAACCACTTGGTGTCATAAATATGAGTTCAGGCTATAAGTATAAGTCCTCTAAACAGCTGTTCTACTGAATTCCTCACTTCCTAGTGAGGAGTTTCTGGACTACTTCAAATGGTGTTTTCATTTGCTGAAAAGCACTTCTTTTTTTCTGTTTTCTCCTTGTGATACAGTTATTGTAAATCAGGTAGTATTCACTTTCCTCACGTAAGGAAGAGTGGATACTGAGCACTAGGAGAGAGGAGCTGGAATAATGCTTGTCTGAGGATCCCTCAGCAGGCCCAGCTTCTCCAATAAGTGTCTACTTTTCTCTGAGTGATTTGGTTGCTTTTCACACTAATGAAATGTCTGTGGTTTTGGAGTCTGGTTTTAGTGAAGCTGTCCCTGCTCTGGGGAATGGTCTTAGGGTTTTCAAGGGCTTTTTTGGGTTTTTTTTGCATATATGTTAGCTGAAGAAAAGATCTGAGTTTCAGAGGCAAGGTGTAAAGCAATGGAAAAGTGTGTTAAACTATTCAGTGCTTTCAGAATAACAGGTCTTAGGGTTTTTTGTGTTCATAATTGGTAAATTATAACAAATGTATTTGTTGCAGGTCATAGTTCAGTTCCAGCCTGCTGCCACACCAGATGAATGGGGCACCTCTCAGGATGGTCAGGCAAGACCAAGGCTGGTAAAACGTGGAATTGAGGATGACCATGATGAGATTCCTGATGGTATGTGACCCCTGGAGGTGGGTCTGCACTGTGACCAGCTGGGTTGGGTCTGTGCAGGAGTTGGACAACATGGCAATGCACTGTTCATGCCTACAGTCTAAAGGTTGCAGTTATTCCTTAATCTAAACTGCTTGAAAGAGATTATCTGATTTTGGGGTTTTTTTTAATCAAAAATGTCCTGTGGGCTCTGTTATGTTCTGAATCATAATAGGCTTTACAGAGTTGCTTGACTCTAAACTTCACTCCTTCAGTACATATTGGCACTCTGAATGTTTTATTTCCTTTTTTTACAGGAGAAATGTCCCAAATTGACCATCTGGTATTTATGGTTCATGGCATAGGTCCTGTATGTGACTTGAGGTTTAGAAGCATTGTTGAATGTGGTAAGTTTTGGCTTGTATAATGAATAGTTGTGTTCTTAACTGTTTAAATGTGGTTCTCTGCAGCTCATAGTCAGATAAGCAAGTAGTTTGTTGTTGGTTTTTTTTTTTTTTAAAAGTCCCTAATGTTAAGAAGCTCAACCTGTGGTAGAATTTTGTCATGATTATTTTCCAAAAGCAGAATCTGTGTTTTGTCAGACTTGCAGCTTTACCTGTTAATACTAGTCCTCAATATCAGACTTGCTGAGTGATTTGGGTTTTGAGATCTGTGGAGTGTTTTTTTTGTTTGTTTGTTTTTGGTTTTGGTTTTGTTTTGTTTGTTTGTGGTTTTTTGCCTTTTTTTTTTGTGGTGTGACTGAATATGTTGCTTTGTGTGGTTTGTGTGGGAGAAGTGGTTTTCTGTTTGCTTTTTTTTTAAATACATTCTAGTACAACTGAGTAAATGAAAAAAGCCCTTTCTGGTCATGGAGTGAAAAATGTCATTGTGAGATAAATCAAAGCTTGCTAGAAAAGTCCATTTTAACAAAAACATGTATTTTCTTATTGTTAGAGGGGTAATACTTGAAAAGACATTTCCAGTTGGCAGTTTCCATCATTTGTATTCTGACTATGTGTGAAATTAAGGGGGAAGAGGGAGTATTTGTGTGTTACTTAAGTACTGCTTCTATCAGACTTTCTTTATTGTTTTTCTTTGCAGTGGATGATTTTCGGACTGTTTCTCTGAAGTTGCTGCAGACTCACTTTAAGAAAGGTTTAGAGGAAGGTAAAGTGAGCAGGGTGGAATTCCTTCCAGTCCACTGGCATAGTTCTCTGCATGGAGATGCAACAGGTGTAGACAGGTGAGTGTGTTGCTTGATGTTGAAAATTTCATATAAGCTGTTACTTAAGGAGTTTTGGAATGTGGAGGAAAAGAGCAGTTCATATGCTCTGTAGGCTAGATGAGTAAATGTGTGACTGGGTTACAGAAGAGAATTGCTAATTTCATGTAATTAGCATTTTGGTAAGGAGCATTGGGAAAGCTGGCAAGGCATGAGGAATATTTCCTCTTGTTTGTTTTCACACACACTTTTCAGGAAGGTGGCCAGTGCATGATGCATAATGATGAGTGTGTAGAGGTGGTGATGGTAAGTATGAGGTAGTGAACATGGAGATGTTTTGTCCAGTAGCAGGTTGTACAATTTAGAATGGAGAGTTTTTTGTTCTTTCCCTTCCTGCAATCTGAGTTTGACCCTGGGAGGTGTCAGGATCCTGAGGAAGGCATCAAGCCCTCTGTCCAGTCCTAGAGGAGCTCCTGAATTCTATTAGGCAGTTGAGCCAAGGACTTTTGTCTTTTGCAGCAAAGTAGCTATATATGTGTAGGAATGTTACAGCATTTAGAAATCTTTTAGAATCACTTCTCTGTGCCTACCCCTTTGCTGTCACTTGACATTTCAAGTTGTTTTCTCTTGCTCAAAGATGGGGAAGGAGAAATTGTGAGGGTAGCAACCTATGCCACACACTGCTCATGCTGGTGTTCTCCAGACTCTTGTAGCTCACTCAAGTCCTGCTGCTTTCCTCAACCTTAGACTTTTCTTTGAGTTTGAGCACTGCATTATCATGAGAAGGGATCCTTATCCTGTTAACCAAACCAGGCAGTGCTAAGGCAGTCTGAATTCTCCAGCAATTCCATTGCAGCTGTCTCAGCTCCAGGCAGGCAGATGGGGATGCCAAGCTTTTCCTTTAAAAACAGAGTATTATGGTTCTATGATTCTAATTTTACATGCAAGTTCTTTTTCTCTTCCACTTCAGTCTGCTCACAAAACTTCCCTGTAGCAGTGTTGGAATAGAAAAGAGATTATTTCAGGCATCCCTTCAGCCTGGACAGAAAAAAGGGAGCTGTATCTTTCTCGAATATGTACAATCAGCAGATAGCACTAATGTGTGAATATACAAGGCCAGAAATCTGTGGTTTTTAAAAAAATGTTTTTAGAGACACTTTCTGTAGAATTTACATTGCAGTTCTAAGTGAAGTGACATTACCTGTCGCTTCAAAGGTTAACGAAGCCCTTATCTGTGTTTCTTTAAAGGCATTCAAGACTTTTAATGGTTTTGTGTTACCAGGAACATAAAGAAAATCACTCTGCCGAGCATCGGGCGCCTGCGGCACTTCACCAACGAAACGCTCCTCGACATCCTGTTCTACAACAGCCCCACCTACTGCCAGACCATCGTGGATAAAGTCGGCCTGGAAATGAACCGTCTGTACGCGCTTTTCATGAGCCGCAACCCCGACTTCAAAGGAGGAGTCTCTGTGGCTGGGCACAGCTTAGGTGATTGTTTTAGGGCTGGTTGGGATAAACCAGCATTCCTTCGTTAAGCATAAGGCTCAAATGAGCTGTTAGCTGAGTAACAAACACCTCCCAGGAGCTGAGTTTATCAGGCTTTGAGAGAAAATTAGTGCTTCGTGCATGAGCACATTCTCCCCCTCTGTCGGTTCCTTCTTGAAGACTTAGTATCTAATTTGCACTTAAAAGCTGACAGCTTATCTGGTGTCTTGTTAGGTGGGTGATTTCTGTGTCTCAGAACCCCCACTTAGTTAAATTACACTCATTTTTTGGAAGATAGAATAAGTGTTATAATGACATATTGGCACACTGGTTTGGGCTGGAACTTTTCCTCCAGCTTGGCAAGCAGACTCAGGTGTTTAAGGAAAGATAATTTAATCATGGCAACTACATAAAGCATGACTGGAGGTGGGGGGGGAAAGGGCTTGCTTTTGGCTGAGAGTAATTATGTTCAAATTAATAGGTATTTTATTTTAATTCAGCCGTGTATTTTGACCAATCTATTTGCTGTTATTACATATAAATCTTCCTTGAGATTTAGGGACAGGAGTACCTGGCATTTTTCCTGAGTCAACTCTAATTCCTGTTTCCAGGTTCCTTAATTCTCTTTGACATATTGTCTAACCAGAAGGACTTGGCTTCATCAGTAAATTCTGGGCCCTTCTCTGCTGTTAATGGGACTGTAAAGGATGTGGCTGTTCATGATAAACAGGTAATTTGCTACTAGTCTTTCCAGCCCAATAGAGCTGATATTTCCAGCAATTTTTTTCTTAATTTTTCAGAATTTATAGCTGAAACATGGTTGTGGGTTCTGATAGTACATTTGAACCTGTTCATGGAATTTACAGTTTTGTAAATCCTGTCACTTCTCAGGAAAAACTGTTTGCATCTTGCTCAAGTTCCAAGTGGGCTGGTAATGGGATTTGATCATGAGCTTTGACCCTTGTGAACGTGTAACTTGGTCTTAACTGTATCTAACTGGTGGGGGAGGTGTGTGAGAGGGGAAGAATCTGTCTGAGCTCAGGGTAGAAATGGTGACCAGTTGTTTGATGAATAAAAGGAAGTATTTTTAAGTGTCGGAAAGCTCAACAAAACTTTTGTCTCTCTTAGTAATTTTTAAATATTTTTTTTGCTGGTCTCTCATTAGAGGAAAATGGATGTATATTTACAGAGCTTGCATGATGGTGTTTTTAAGAGAAAGGAATTCCACTTGGTTTGGATTGCTGCACGTTGATTTTTCACTGTTAGAGGATGTGATTCTGGTTCTGTGCTGTTTTGTTAAGATGACTGAAGATACCAGTTCCTTGGGCTCCTCAATTGCCACATCTGGTGATGACCTTTGTGAGCCTGAGATGGATGAGGATGTTCCCACTTTGCAGAAGACTCTGGAGATGCTGAGTTTGTCGGAATATGTGAGCACGTTTGAGAAGGAGCGGATGGACATGGAGTCTCTGGTACAGCAACGCTCACTTGGCTTCTGGGCACTGCCCAGGGGATGGGCTTTGTGTCTGGGGTTTGTTGTTGTTGTTTTGTTCTGGTTTTCCTTTGAGTTTAGTGACCATGAGAGAGCAGTTGCAAAGATAAGATAATCATGCATGACTTGAAGACTAAGTGTTAGGTGACTCTTGTCCTTTTTTCTTGGTGTGGTGCATCCCCCCCAGTTTTGTTAAAGCACTTTGTTTCATGTCTTCTTAATTTTTTATATTTTCTGTAGCTGTATAAAATGAGTTAGCAAATTCAGAAATCATTGCCAGTAAGAAATTACATGTGTTACTAGAAAAGTTATAAAGTGTGCTTTGATTGTGTGTGTTTGGTGTTTGTTTCTTTAGCTCATGTGTACAGTTGATGACCTGAAGGAAATGGGGATACCTCTTGGACCAAGAAAGAAAATAGCTAATTTTGTGAAAGACAGAGCAGCCAAGCAGGTAAATACATTTTTCAGGAATGAAATAAAACATGATCAGGCAAATGTGACCGACTTCCTTGCTGTGGAGTAGCTTCTATTCTTGAACACTCTTCTTAACATCCTGGATCTATTAGAGAAATTTTGACGACTGTGAAATAAACTTTTGTTTTGCCCTAACTTTGAAACTTTTCTCAAAAGGAACAGAAGAAAGCAATAGCAGAAAAGAAAGCAGTGCTGGCTGCCACACTCCAAACTCAGGAAGACACCCAGAAACCAAAAGAGTCAGTTCCTTGTGTCTCCTCTGCAGAGGCTGGTCAGCACTCAAAGAGGAAACTCCCAGTTGGTGCATCCGTGTCTTCTGTGAACATTGACTACGAGTATTTTGAAGTTGGAACTGGCCAGGTGAGACTACAAACATTTAAATGATTTGGACAAATCCTGTCCTTTTTTTGATTTTCTGTTTGTGGGGGTTTTTTTTAATATTTATGACTTTGAGCTACCTCCCTTGGTTGTTATACAAAAATGATGTTTATGTAGAACTTCGCCCTTTGGTGGGAAGGGGGGGCTGGGAGGGTGGGTTAGATTGCTGAAAAGCAAAACTTATTATAACAAGGTTGTCACTACAGTTGAGTTATAATTCCAGCAGTGAGTGAGCTGTAAACACGGTTCTGTTCCAGAAGCAGAACTGTGGGAATGACAGAAGATTGAGTGACATCAGATTAAATGCCTCTGTGGCTTTACAGTTAACATGGTTGCCTAAATTGATATAATTTAGGCAACCTAAATATATATATAACAGTTATGCTGTTATATTTAAGGTTTACCTCAAACTAAACTTAAAAACTTCCTTGTTTAAATATTTTTTTTTTTACTTTAATTTTTTTTCCTTAAAACCCCACTTTAATATCATGGTATCAATATGCACTAGTACTATGGTGTTAGTATGGAAAAGGGCAGTGTAGCTGAAGCTTCCTGGAAGTACTGTGAGCATGTGGTTGATTTAATACAGAACTTGCTTTTTCCTTCCTGACTAAGCATTATATGACTTAGCTGGCAGTTCTGAGAGATTCTGTGTCTGATTTCTGTCTGCCAGGTTTCTGTGGTTTACAGTGCATTGGACTTTGAACCAGATATTTTCTTTGCTCTGGGTTCTCCCATTGGTGTGTTCCTCACTGTGAGGGGTGTGGAGAAGATTGATGAAAACTACAGGCTTCCTACCTGCAAGGGATTCTTCAATATCTATCACCCAGTGAGTAAGCAGAGCTTTTGAGATCTGATTTTAGCTGATGCTGGTGACAAAAAGTAGAATATGAAGTTTTAATTTCTGAGCATTACACCTCTTATTCCCTTACGTACAGTTCCCAAAAACACAACCCCCCCCGACCCATCTGAAATATTTATTCCACATATTTGTAATCTTTACTGCAAAAGTGAAATAGGTCTGGCTATAGGTTCCATACCTGTAGGGTTGGTTTGAAAATATTTGCCTTGTTTCTTATCAGAGCTGAGGAACTTTTTTCCCCATTAATTTCAAGCCACTCTTGTAGATTTTTGTGCAGTGTTTGTGTTTTTAACATTCAGTACTTTTGTCCTGTGTCATCTTGTTAGACAGTTCAACAGTGACATGTTGATAGAGATCATCAGAGTGCAAGAAAATCTTGCTGTTGTGTTTCCTCATTAGAATCTCTGTCTGTAGAACAAGACTGAAGTAGTTAATGAATCTGCTTAATCTCATGATTAAACTAAACTGTCATGAACTAAGCTTCTGTAAATTCAGATAGTACAGAATTAAAAAAATGGGTTTCTATTAATCATAAATAGGGATTTTTTTTCACTGAAATATGATAATTAGAATAATTTCTAAGATAACTAAATGTCAATGTGTTGTTTCTCAACAGCTTGATCCAGTAGCTTACAGGTTAGAACCAATGATCATTGAAGACATGGATTTAAAACCAGTTCTCATTCCACATCATAAAGGCAGAAAAAGACTTCATCTGGGTAAAAAGAACACTTATTTCATATGGATCTCATTTTTCTTATTGCCTCATTTGATGCATTAGAGTTTTATAAGATTTTAAGAGACTAATGAATGTTCCTGGATATCTGACACCCTGTTTCTCCTGAACATCAGAGGTGATTCCACCCAGTCCCATAAACTGGGCATTCACAATTTCATTCAGAAGTAATGATCATAATTCCTCCAGATTTGAGCTTCTCATTAACAAAGTTCCATTTAAAAATTGCTGCACATTTCTTGTTCACCTTCATTTCTAAGATGCTGTCAAACAGACACTGAATTTATTGGTTTCTCTTACTTTGCCCCTACTGACCCCCGTGATGTGTTTAACCAGTGTCTGTTCAGGATTGCCAACCTGGAGGAAAAGGTGTTTCTGCAGCCATAGGGCAGGGACTGGATTTTGTTGCTCACAGGTACCCACCAGACCAAGGTGATCTGGTTAAATTTTGCACACCTAATAAGGAAAGTCAGTTTTGCTGTTCAGTTGACAATATTTCTGCTGTACAAGTTCACAGAGCCCTCCCTAAACATCTCCAGGTGGAGCTGTTCTGCACCATCTGTACCACTAGAATGGTGCTTTAGAGTGAGTCTGCTTTCCTAGACTAGACAAGACACTTGTTAAGGAATGTTGCAGTTTACAACTCTCCAAAAGTCTGTATAGCAAAGGAGAAAATAGAAAATTAAGGTCTGTTGCATTTTACCCCATTTTTTTTTGCTTAGATGTAGGTGAATGTTCCACGAATAGTCACGAGCCCTGATCTAACAGATCCATGGAGTCATAAGCAGTTACTGTAAAGAACTCTCCTTCAGCCAGCATTTCCCACCAGTGTGAATGTCAGATTGTTACTGGGGACACAATTCTTGAGCTGTAGCAGAATTACAGGCCAGAGCTGAGGGACTGTTCCTCCAAATTCACTGCCACTGCAAGAGACAATGGCAGCTCTTCTGGTCTCTTCTGCTGTGCTGGAGTTTGAAATTAGTCTCTCTTTGCTGTTCTTTAGTGTAGGGTGTGAGGACTGATTGTGGGGGGTGGTGCAGCTATTTATGTCATTTATGTAGACCCTTCTGCATTTGGAGACTGTTGGACTGTTTCCTGGGCTAGTAGGTTTTAACTCATCGACCCATTCAGTGAGAAATCAGTTGTGTATTAGTTGCATTTCCCTTAATCTTTCTGAATGGAACAGAGAAGCAAGAAACACACATTCATGACACAGCAGGCCTGTTTCTCCTGGGAATTGAGATGTTTGTTGAACAGGGTTTCATCACTCTGGTTTTAGGTTGTAATTTTAAATCCTTCTGTATTGAGATTTTTTTGTTGGTTTTTTTTGTTTTTCAGAACTGAAAGACTCCCTGTCTCGTATGGGCTCTGATCTGAAACAGGGCTTTATCAGCTCTTTGAAGAGTGCATGGCAGACCCTTAATGAATTTGCCCGTGCCCACACATCTTCAACTCAGCTGCAAGCAGAGCTGGAGAAAGTAGCCAACCAAATTAAAGAGGAAGAAGAAAAGCAAGTAGTAGAAGGTATGTGGACACATTATTGTTTTACCTCTAGCTTATTGAGCTCAAATTAATTGAAGCTTGAGTATCCCAGTGACTGTTTGCTATTGATTTTCCTGACCCTGTTAAAGAGACCTCTCTGCTAAGCACCAGAGCTGCTCTGTCACTCCCCCCCTCAGCTGGAAGGGAGAGAGAAAATCCAATGAAAGGTTTGTGGGTTGAGCTCAGAACAGGGAGAGGTCACTCAGCTGTTATTGTCATGGGCAGAACACACTCGACTTAAGAAAACTGCTTTAATTTGCACACTCAGTCAACTTTCTGTTAGAATGGCAGGTTTCTAAATCAGGTTTCTAAATCAGGTGTGTTTCTAAATCAGTTTTCTAAATCAGGTGTGTTTTCTTTCAGGGCAAATCAGTATGAATAAATCTTTCTGTGATTTATTCTCGAGTAGTTTTCTGCTGATTTTTTTGGGAGGAGCTTAGAAGCATTTAGGTGTGTTCTCTAACAGAATAAAAATAAGTTTAACTCAGGTGTAAACAGTACCCTTAATGATAGCAAGGGCAGGATTGCCAGTTGTGAATTACCTGTGTGTGTTTAGTAATGCTGGCTTTGTCTATTCTTAGAAAGACAAATCACTCCTCTTAGTGTGAATTGAGGATAGTGATTGACACTGTGCAGGAGAGATGTAAAAATATGTCATGTCAGGTTATTCACTCATAGAATGACTGGATCTGTGTATGTATAAAACAGTGGGGTTTGTTCTGAAAATTGCTCAGCTACTACTTTGCATGAGGCCTTTTTCAAACAAACTATTTAAACTGTTATGAAAGAAATAAGCCTATAATTCCAGTCACCTTTCTGAATTGTGCAGTTCTGGCCAGTTCTGGTGGTTGTTATTGTCTTATCTCAATATCTTGGAAATTTTAGCAGGGAAAATGGGTGATATTTCTTGATTATAATCAAGCAGGCTGTGCTTGGAAATAGTTTAAACCTTAAACTCTTGTCATTTTAGCTGAGAAGATCACTGAAAGTCCAGAGCCTCCAAAAGATGAAGATTCCTCAGTGAAGGTCGGAATGCTGAACGGAGGGCGTCGGATTGATTATGTGCTCCAAGAGAAGCCAATAGAAAGCTTCAATGAATACCTCTTTGCTTTGCAGAGTCATTTGTGCTACTGGTAAGAGGAAATACTTGTGATTCTGTAAATATTGCTTGAGGAAAACAGTATATATGAATGTCCAGGAGTGGCAGGCTCATCTGATTTCAGAATTCTGTGTGAGTGCAGGGTGAACAAATCCATCATTGTGTTTGTACTCAAGACATTGCACGCTGTTCTCTTGACCTTTGACACTCAGAACACACATTTTTAGCTACTATCATTTTCAAAACAAGGAGAGCTCTGTAAGCATTTTGACAACTGTAGTTTTTCAAATAAAACTCTTCATGAAGGAACTGTATTGGACTACAGTATGTAGTAAAACTTAATTGCCATTTCGTGTTGAAATGACATTGCTGGATGCTCTGCTATCAAATATTAACAAAAAAAAAGAAGAAGAAAAAGGCACAGTGGAACTTCTTGTAAATTTGGATGGTTGTGATTGACCACTTTTATGCAGTGGTTGCTTGTACACAGAAAGAACAATTTATAGAACAAGAAGCAGAGTTTGGTGTCATCATGTGGTCAGAGCTGTAGTGCAGAATTGCTTCCCTGGATTTGGATTTATTTTTTTTAAGGTGCTTAAATATCTCAAACAGAGAAAGATATCATTCCACTTACAGAAATAGTAGTAACTCCTGACCTGTTGTATTAGCCCTGATGAGTTGCTCTCTTTTTTTTTTTTTTGATGTGCCATTGCATACATTTTCTTACTGCCATAAAATCAGGTGCACATGAAAATACACAAGGTGTGGAATGGCAGAGCACAGCAACACCACACTTTTGTATGGAATAATCAACCTTGGATGTCAGCTGTGAGCTGTGCAGAGCAGTGTTGGGGAGGGAGCAGTGACTGCTCTCTTGTTTTGAGTTTAGCAGGTGCTGGACAAAATAGTGCTCTACGTTCTTTTTGAAGGGTTGATTTTCAGTAGCTGATAATTTTAGAAGCAGGCGTTTCCCCCCGAGGTTAAAATGTGGCATTGAAAGCGTTTCCTGAAGGATCTTTGTTAAATTCAGTATCACTGACCCTGCCAAAGCTCAGGAGCTGCCCGGGAAGGGATTCTGGAGGCTGCTGAGAGCACTGAGCTCTGCCCGGGTGACCCGCTGGTGGCAGTGCCGTGCCACAGGCTGGGTTAAAGGATGGGCAGTTCCTTTCCACGGGGTGGCAGCCGCTCACTGCCTGCTCTTCAAAAACCTGCTGCACTTAGCTGGCTTTTGTCATTCAATTAGGGAAGATAAGCACGGTGAATAATGACCCAAATGAGAGAGCCCTGTTTTGGGGAGTGGTGAGAAAAGCCTTAAATGAAATACTGTGCTGTTGAGAGCAGAGCTCCTGTGTTAATCCTTTTGCTGCTCGTGGAACAGCAGAAACCATCAACAATTGTGGTTACTATGTCTGTGCTTGATTGTGGAAAATATTTGTAGTCCCTTCACTTGCATGTTTAACTCAGTACTGATGTTCTGTAAATTATGTTCCTCATACTTGGAGGATCACAGTCCTGAGCACCTTATTTATTCTCCTTTGATGTCTCCCTCTGTCACTTATTTTAAAAAGCACAGGAAGCTGCCCTCATCTAACAACTCCCACAGCTTTGAAACTTTGTGAAAATTTAGGTGTTTAACTTTTTACAGTGCTTGTTATGTTTTTATGTTGATGATGTTTATATGTGTTTAAATAGCATTTTACAGATGAATCAGAAAATTTAAATTAAGATAGCCTGAAGGTTTGATTTTTGAAAATAGGAGGGAAAACAGCCACCTGGAAACATGGCACTTGAATTATATTAAACTTTAAATTATTTGAGAACTATCTTACATTTTAGTGGCAAGGAAGAGAGGAAGAAAGTCTGGACAAGTAGAATGTATTCTTTTTAGAGAGCTGAGATAGCATGAAATGACTTCAAGAATTAGAACATGGACCATATTGAACTAACTTTTTATTTTTTTTTCATCTTTCCTAGGGGTTCTGAAGACACTGCCTTGCTGTTCCTCAAAGAGATATACAGGACTATGAATATCAATCCTGAGCAGCCACAGCATTGATGTCTAGAAACAGGAATTTGTAAGTTTGCTCCAGTATAACTTATGTACTCATATCAAATTCAGCTGCAGCTTAGATGTCTTGACTTTCCCTTTTTCCTCTGAAGTTTAAATTACAAGGCAGGCAGCCATAAAATGTCATTTTGATTGCAAAAACAATTTCTAGACTTGAATGCAGGGGGTATCTTCGAGTTCTTTCCCTCTTCATTCCCAAAAGATATTTGATGTTGGTAGTTTTGGTCTGGGATAATAACCATCAGTACAAATATGACCAAAGCATGATTTCTCTTTATCATTTGTTCAGTGAATGTTCAAAACCAGGAAAACTTGGAGAAATTGGATCTGTTGAAACTTCATTTACAGTGCAGTAGATTAAAGAACACCAACAGTGTTTCCACTTCTTTAATGTCCATATTGTTGAGCATGGGGCACGTGTATGCCAGCAAAAAACCTGCTTGTCTCCCAAGAAAGTGTTAAACACTGATATTGATAAATTACTGAAGTATTTTTATTTTATTATCTTTGTATAGCTTAAACATTTCAGTAGAACAAGGGAAATGACATACCATGGAAGTTGGTTCACTCTGAAAAGAAATTAAATACACAATATGATTGAGTATCTGAGATAGAAATATTCTTGCAGGTATTTTTATTTTAAGATGTGTGTTTCCTAACCAAGGATCTGTATTGTACCAGTTTGCATCACTAGATGTTGTAGAAAAGAGTATACTGTCTTTTGAGAGGCAAGGAGGAAATAATGTGCACCTTGCCTTTTTGGAATCATACAAAAAGAGAGTTTCTGATGTATTTCTCCATTTTCAGAAGAGCTGATAATGCCAAGCTACATAAATACCCAGCATGAAGAGAAATACTTGACATTTCAGAGGACTATTTGAGGCATCTTTCACTGCTACCATACAGTTTTAGTAGTCTTTTGTAACAGAATGCTTCTGATGGTCAGTTGATAGCATCTTTTTGAAAATGAAATGTCAGGGCTGATCAAATGCATTTTTTTAAAGCACAGGCAAGTGAAGGTAAAGGCACCGTTTGGCTGCACGCTGTGCCAGTGGTGTGTCAGCTCTCACACTGGCTTAGGCAGTGTCTCGAGGCAGAGTTGCACAATTTTTTCTCTCCTTCTCTTTCTTTATGAGCACTTTGGTTGAAATCATATGGAGCTTATTGGGAAGGAAAGGCCTTTGAGTCTCCTTGCAGGAGGGGAAGGGAACGTGGTGATTTATCTCTACAAAGCTGAAAGCAGTCTGTTGCTCAGCTTCAGCAGGCTCTGGGATAATTGTGTTTTATCACTGAGAACTGCACAGCTGGAGGAGGGTTTAGCAGGATGTCACACAACAAAGCCCAGCCAGGGAAGGCTGTAATTCCATTAGGAATTGCTCCGAAGGCCCCTCAGCACTGAGCAGTGTTTGAGGCTGGGATTCAGATACCAGAGGCTTAAGTGGGAGGGCAGTAGGGCCCACTGGAGGCACTAAATGACAAGAGGTGTCCTGGGAATGCTGCACACTGGGAGACCAGGATCTTTTCCACAGGAGAAGAAGTGTCTTTCCATGCACTGTGTAAAATATTATCACAGAAATCTGGAAGTACTGAAGTGGAAAATTCTCCCCCAGTGTTAGTCAGGTAGAGTTGGCATTGGTTTTTTTCTCTTTTCTGTTCATTTAAGACTTTCAAATGTGAAGGCAATGGATTATCCAGCAGTGCCTATGACAGCAACATCCATTTCCCTACACAGGAGCAGATTATCTGAAGAAACAGCCTCTCTATTTGTGGGCTGCTCAAGGGGAAGAGTAAATAAATGCCAGAGGAGCTCTGGGCTCCCTCATCATATTTTCCTATTAATTGATTGGAATGCTGAGACCTGACCACTTCCCTGCCTTCATGTGCAGAGCTGCCTCTTGCTGTCCAGTTTAATTTCCTGGCTGCTGGTGCAGATCCCTTTAACTTCTTGGGGACTGTGGCAGTTTTGAAGCAGATACAAAATGAGCAGAGGCAGGTTAAGGGAGGAGCTGGGTGTTCGGTTTTACCTCTGATTGTTTTGTTTCTGAGACAGGGATGGAGTTGGCCCTTTCTGGGGGTTGTTACCTTCTGAGTTTGACTTTTATTTTGTATCAGTGGCTTGATTTAGCTCTTCTAGATGATCCTGGAGCTGGTCTTTGTGAAACAGTAATACAGTGTTTCATGTAAACAGTGTATTGAAGCTTGGATGTGTAAATTATCACATCAGGGTTTTATCTCTATTTGGAGTAGGATAGTTTATTACCACAGCCAATTAAAATGCACAGTGAATGACATCCTATTAGCAGCTGTTGTGAGCTTTTTCTGTTTGTAATTGTAATTGCCAATTTGTGTCCACAGAAAGTATATTTCAGAGGCTTATTACATTAAAAATTTGATTAAAAACGTGTATGGATTTTTAGATCTTTTCGAGTCCTCTTGAAATGGAATGTTGGCATGTTTAATTTTATTAGTACTGCTGCAGGAATAGAAAACTTGATATATTTCATATTTCCAATATGTCCATGTTCTGTTTTCTCTGCACAGCCACACCTGTTGCTCCCACAGACCTGGTGAAAAACTCTTTGGAAAACATCTGGTATTTTCATACTTACACATGCCAGGATAAGCATCAGACTTCTTTTTTTTCTGCCAGTGCAGAACTTGCTCAGATTCTACCTTCTTGTGTCACTTCAAGCAAACTTAAATTCCGTGGTGATCTGATCAGCACTGTCCATCAGGAGATGGATGGGATGACACCGTTATGATCCTAAATCAGTTTAATTGTACAGTTGCCAAGTATAAGGTGATCAGTGAAGAAGTTTATTTTGGCATGCAAATCATTGCTTCTCCTTCAGCTCTCCTGTCTCAGCTGGCTGTCAGACATGCTCTGCCTACCAAGGCAGCTTGTCCTCATTAAAAAGGACTTGGTGAGAAACAGCAATAATCTGTTTTTCTTGACACGTTCGTTCGTCCACCTTCAAACTATAAAATGTGAACTGTAGTTATAACCATCTTTAATACAGATTACACAATCCAGTTCATATTTACTAACAATTAGCAACCAGAATCATTTTCTTACTATTGTAAGTGTGATGGAGATTATTTTATAAAGACCTTTTTAAGCCTCTGTTAAGAGTTTTACTGTTGCTTTTATTTTTATAAGTAAAAATGAACTTTTGACTTTGAAAATGTTAGAAGTTTGTTACAACTAGTTCAGTGTTCACATATCCTGAAATGAAGAACAATTTAAAATAACATTTTGATCTGATAATTACAGAATTAGAGACTATTCTGAGTTAATTAAGGCAATTTTAGTGAAACCAGACTGCAGTTGGGAGAATTAAAATACTTACCTTGACCCTGCAGTCTCACATCTCAAAACAGTCAATGTAAATAGGATCCTGAAGCTTAGGGGTGCTGAACAATAATCTGGATCCAGACCTGCAATCCAGGCTCCATTTTTTGTACCAAAGTTGAAAGGAATTGGGTGGTGTGAAATCCTTGGAATTCATGTCTCTGAATACTGAGCTGCTGTACCTTTCCTTGGGCTCCAAGTTACATACACATTGTGGCTTTTCTTAATATTGGTGATTTAACCTTACTACTGACTATTTGCCTCTGTTCTTGCAGTAAATGAATTCTGAAATGCAGTATGTTTATTTTTTTTTTCCTTGATATATGTAAAATACACATTATTGTGTATATAATTGGATGGCTATAATTAAAAGTACCTTACTTCCAGTGGATTTTACAACCAGGTTTTGTATTTCTTCATAGGAAATAGGTTGGAAGAGACCTCTGGAGAGGTTGCTCAGGGCAGGAGGGCTCAGGACCTGGTTCAAGGCTGGAGAGCCTTTGCTTCTCTGGGCCCTATTTTAAAGTTTGCTTTGGTTGCAAATTTTTTTTCTAATATAGAGTTGAATTTTCCCAGTTGGAGCTTGTATCTGTTGCCTCTTGTCCTTTCTCTGTGCATCTTCAAGAGTCAACTCTCTGTCTTCTCTTGTGCTCTCATGATTTTCCAGCCCAACCCCTTTCCGTGGCATCTCTTGCCTGCCAGGCACTGTGACCCCATGGGCATCTTGGACTTGCTTCACTTTATCAAAGTTCAACTTGTTCTGGGAAGCAAGCTTACCAAAAGAAAGCTTTTTATCCAAAATATCAAATATATTTGTAAAATTAACCTCTGAAGATTAAGTTTTACAATCTGTTTCATTAGTTGGAATACAAAATATATGTATATATGTATGTAAACAACAAAACCCCCACAACCACTGGCCTTATTTTCATCTGAAGTATCATAGAGTGGAAGGTTATACACTTGTATTTATCAACTTTGTGCAACATTGAATAACCTGAGTCTCCTTAAACAGCATTTTTTAAGGAGCTGGGCTGTGAAGGATCCCCTGGGAGGGAACAGCAGCACCAAGGAACAGTAACATTTTATGGGGTGTCAGAAGTGCTGTTGCTTGGTGCACAGGAGGATGTTGCAGGTGAATGAGAGCCATCTGGAGTGGAAGGACTGTTTTGGGAATATAGCATAAAAATCAGTTCTGGTTATATAAACAACAAATTGTCTGCAGCTACAGTAACTAACCAGTGTTACATCTTAAAAGCATGGGGAAGTTCAGACATAAAGGAAGGAAAAATTACAGTGTAACCTGTAATTATATAAAACAAAAAAAAACAAATGGAATTTATAGAGTGATTTTGTATCTGCTACAGATTAATATATTGCTTCCTCAGCAGAAATCATCCCAGTGTGCTGCAATAAAGTATTAGGCAGGCCATGTACAGCACAGCTTCCAATATGTGCTGCCCTAGGCTTGCTGGCTTTTTATTTATTTTTGTAGGTACTGTGATGCACAATTAAGCAGATAATGCTAATTAAACTTTAATTGGTCAATCCATAAACAAAAATTAAAAGTTTTCCCTGTCATATTTTCATCTGTGCTGAAGCGATTGTAAACATTTAAAAAAAACAACAAAAAAACCCCCAAAAAACAAACAAACAAACAAACAAAAAACCAAACAAAAGAAGATCACCCAGAAGAGGTTTTTTTAAAATCAGATTTGCTCTGTCACCCACCTGTAGTGTCCTTGGGGAGATTTGGGTGTGGGCATTAACTCAGTGAAGATTTCCAGGTGAGAAGGGTCTGGGTTCTGCAGCCCTGGCCCTGCCTGTGCAGCAGCCACTGCTGCTGGTCCTGGGGGGACAGGGCAGGCTCCAGCCAGGAGCAATCCCACAGGGAATGGAGCTGGGCCAGGAGGCTCCTGAGTGCTCAGATGCCCTGGGAGGGGCACGGAGTGAGTGCCAGTGTCACTTTGCCCCATGTGCCAGCCCCTGGGGCAGGTGAGCTCTGCAGTGCTTAAACCATCCCTGGGACAGACCACACCCAGCACACTGCAAAGACAAAACATAGAACTGTGTGAGTAATTCTTGGTGCAAAGGAGGACATTAATCACACCCTGGGTAGCTCTGTAACTTTCCTAAAGATATTTTATCTGCCTTCCTGCTCCTGAAAACCTGCAGTGATGGTTGGGGACAGGGGGTTATCCTTACAGGCTACAGCTGCTGTAGGAGGACCTCCACCCACAGAAAACAGCTCAGCTGGGCCCTGATGAGCTGCTCTGATGCCACCTTTGGCCTGGGTCTGGTGCTCTGGTCCCTTCATTTCAGCAGCAGAGGTTGGCTGAGCTACTTAGATCAGTGTTTCCTACAATTATCACATTCCTGCCAAGTGTTCCTTGGAGGATCCTCTGAGTGAGGCACCTTCTCCCTGCGCTGCTCTGGCACAACCTGACTTCCACTGTTGAGATGGGAGAGAATCTCTGTGCCCTGATATGTGTCTGAAGACATCTGTGAAGACCTGAAGACTTCTGACAATATAAGGTGCTTTGTTTGGTGAAAGTGTCAGGAAGCAAGTGGCTTTACACTCCTTCTGTGAGGAGAGGGGACTCCTCCCAAGGAGTGACACTTGTGTGAGTTGTCTCACTCCTGTGGGGGTCCTGCTGTGTGGAATGGTGTGGAATGCTCCCTTGTAAGCAGGTATGTGACATTGTGTTCATCTTATTTTGTATCTACAAGTCTGGTAAAATGCAAATTTTTTGAAAATAAGTTCATTCAAGGACGAAAGTTCTCGGACTGTGTCTTCTTTTCCATAAGCACTTAACCCTCAGGGCATTGCAAGAGAGAACATGTGCAGGACCCAAAGGTTGCTGGTGCAGTCCCCAAAGCCACAGAAGCAGTGAAGGGCACGAAGTACACTGTGCAGGATAAACTGGAAATGGAAGAACAACCCAGGAAAATGAAAAACTAATCACTTTGCAGTGAAGGGTCACACCTCTCTGGGTGCTCCTTTCATGTGCTGATTCAGACTCTGGTACAGCCCAGTTTTGCATTGAGGCCTCGTGGAAAATTAATCTTCAGGTGGAAATTTTTATTAGTGAATTCCAGGGAAATAATCAGAGCCTCCCTAAGAAATCCAGCACCTCCCCAAAAGATTCCCATTTGGATGAAATTAAATCCTTCATTGAAAACTTTTTTCTTTTGGAAAACTTTCTATCCCCTGCTCCTCTCCTGGTGTTCCAGGAGCCGTTGCTTCCATCAGTAGGAATGTTTCCTCTGGGAACACCTCCTCACTCATCTGTTCATAGAAGTAGCACACTCAAATAATTTCTCCTTGTGCTGGGAGATGCCTGGCATAACACACAAAATTCCCAGTAACTGTGCTAGAGCTGTCCTGGTCCTTTCCCAAAGAATGTTATATTAATATTTATAACCTTGATCTGCAATAGGACAAACGTGTTACAAACTCTGTCTAAAATGCTATTTCCATAATAATATTCTCCCTGATTTCTTTCTGTAGGTGATTTTTTTTTCCTTGGGATGAATAATAAGATCTAGGATTTCATTTTTCCTAAAAAATGCTCAGTTGGTGCCAGTGCCAGGGTGCTCCTTGTTGGAGGCTGGATGTTCAAATATAAGAGGAGTGGGTGGTGGAGAGCAGCCCTTTGCAGAGCTGCATTTCTCTGACCAAGCTGAGCTACTATTTTTAATCATCCCTTTGAATTAGGATGTGTTAGAATAAGAAGAATTCTTGTTTAAAAATAGGAAATATCATTTCATGTGCCTGTTCTCATTTCCTGGTGTTTAACTGAAATGGTGAAAATCATTGGCAGCTGCTTTGATTTAATAGGAGGGGTTTGTTGTACAAAACCATAAGCTTGGCTTTAGATTTCTACCTGATTTTCATAACTGTAAATCAGGATTAACTTCCCAAAGGCTGATGGAGCCACTCCAGTGTAAATACAGTTACAAACAGACTTGCTGGGACTCAATTCTCCAGCCTGTTGAGGTCCTGACTGGCAGCACAACCGTCACCCAGCACTCCCATCATCTGCACTTTTAGGGTTTATTCCTGACTCTAAAACAACCTATGGGCAGAAAAGCACAAACTGCTGTGCCCTTTGTGGCAAAACCCAAAGTCCTAAGAATTTGCCTCATTTCTGCAGTGGAAATTTTTAGTCATCTGAGCAGAGGTGACCAGGGTTTGCTCACAGTGCTCAGCTGAGCTGTTTGGAGGGTACAAGGACTTCATAGAATGCACTCTCCTGAAGGTGAAATGCAGCTCTCCAACATGCACCAGAAATGGTGCTTTCAGCTCAGTGGCTCTTAAAATGTGGGACTCTCCAGGCTTCCTTTACATATGGAGGCTGTAAAAGGAACACCTTTTATATATCAGTAAAATAGCTTCAGATTCATATAAATTCAGGCAATCAAAAGTGAAGTGTGTCTATTTAAGAGATGGTAATAGAGGACAAAGGCCTGAGGGGAGAAGAAACCAAGCAGCTGACCCTGTGTCTCACTTTCTGCCAAAAAGGTGTTCAAATAACTTTTAAGGTAATCTTGTTAAAATGGGCCCATGAATACACCTGGAGCAATATTTATGCCTGAGACTGCTCTGAGTGCATGAGTAGGGGTAGAGTTTATTCACAAACTAGAAGTAGCTCACTTGAGTGTAGTCTGAAGTCAAGTTTTCCTAAGCCAAGGCTTGTTATGGGTGTTGTGCAACATTTAGTTATTCATCTGTTTGTAGCTCAGAGGATTCAGGCTTTTCTCTGCGTTGCAGGATGTTCAGATGATTGTCCTTTCCCCAGTTTTTCTGTCTGCACAAAGGACTAAGAAAATGCAGCTTTGAATATCTAAATAATGAGCTCCAGCAGCCTCCAGGGAGGGTCTGAAGTGATGTGGGAGGGAGCAATGGAAGGGATCTGAGGGAGAGACAGAGCTCAGATTTCTGCCAATAAAAAGTAGCCACCACAGGGAAAGGGGAGCTCAGCTACTCATGACAAATCCTTGCTGTCTATTTTTTTCCCCCTTAGCTTCTCAGTGGAAGCTACACATGGAGAAATTACTGACAGTGCTGCTGAGTGAAAAAACAGGAGCTGGACCTGGGGAGTAGAAACAAATCACCTCCAAAACTCTTTCATGAAGGTGGCAGCATTTCTGCAAAATACCTTGGCTAAACCATTTGTTAAAAGGTAATTTTTTTTTTTTTCAGAGATGAACTCTGTTAATAAATAAGATTGGTTTTACTTTTCAGGCCACCCTTTGTACAAATATATGTGGTTTTAGCCACTGGGAGCTCCTTCACTGATGGGATCATGTTAGAGGTTTATTGAGTGAGGTGTAGTGACAGCTCATATTGAATGATCTGTGGAATCCTGTCAGGAGATAACACACTTAGAAAACAGTGGTGTCTGACGATAGTATAAAAAGAGCTGATAACAAAAGCTACAAACTGAACTGAGTGACCACAGGACTAACAGGTATAAAAGCATATGTACATTTGTACACATTACATGTGTATGCAACGAGGCACCTGTTTGACAAGTCCTGGTTTTGAGGGCAGGAGAGGCATCTCTCCTGAAACACTGATGCTTGATTTGCAAAGAGGCCAAAAACCTGTTTGCCCTGGAATCCACGTAACCTTTGGAGCAGGAACTGCCCAAGCAGGAGCTGCAATAAACTGAGTTTGGCTCTCAAGTCCTCCTGAGCTCAACCATCTGTGCAAAACTGCTCTGGGCACCCAGGTGTTTTATTACTCATAAGCTGGAAGATGAAATAATGAAGTGCCAAATACATGTGCAGTCTGTGGGCTGCTTCTTTACTCTGATAAT